GAGAGCAGAGTGTGGCCCAAGCAGGGGCCTGGCACATGGTGGCCTGGGTTCCACTGAAAGTACTCATGGACTGTTCATGCAATTTAACCAGTGGTCACCGTGGGATCGGGGTCTCAGGGACAAACTGACAGCTGGGCCCCTGCTCCCCAGCCCGCCTGGTGGGGCCCGGAGATGCACAAAGGCAGACCACTGTTGCTTCTAGAGTTACCCCAGCTGATTTTACCTGCCTCATCAGGGCGTGGGTAATGAGGGTCTCAGCCAGGGAGGGCAGGATGAGCTGGGGGTGGGAAGGGCATGAACTGTGATGTGCATGTGGGGGCCCACAGGGGAACCCCGGCCTCACCCGAGGGTAGGTGGACCTGTGGGAGTGCTCCCCCGCACCCCCATCCCTCCCTGCCCCCCCAGAGTTCAGCGCTGCTGAGGGCCCCAGAACCAGCTCTGGGCACAGGCTGCAGAACTGACCAGGTGCCTCAGCCTCAAACAGCCACGAGGGCGGATGCCCGGCTGGGAAGTTCGGTAGGCCCCTCGCCCCGGGCTGTGCTGGCTCCAGTGGGTGCTCGCCTCCAGCTGGGAGGGGCCTTCAAGTGCAACCCAGGCCTGAGCCTTGGCCCATGTTGCAAGCTCAGATGCAGGCCCATGGGTGCTCACCAGCCTGCAGGCGTTTGAGACCCGAGGCCGTGGGGGGGGTGCAGCGTGGGGGCTGCGGAGCCATCTGGGCGGACTTGGAGGGAAGGGCAGCACTGTGCCCTCTCACCACGTCCAGGATGGCTCCTGAGACCGGCTGGGAGCGGAAAGGGAGCGGAGGCAGGTGAGAGGCCTGGGGAGGAGAGTGCACCTTGGGAAGCAGGTGGAAAGGGCAGGGCTGCTCATGGGGGAGGGAGGTGGCCTCCTGTGGACTCTGTCCTGTTCTCAACACCTGTGGGCCACACCCCGTCCAGCCCCCTGCTGGGGCCACAGCCAAGGAAAGGGAGACTGACTGTGAAAGCTGGGACCAGCCAGAGGCTTGGGGGTGCCCAGGTGGGCAGGTGGAAGGACCTGGGACCACAGAATGCTGCCCCGGACATGAGTGGGCGGGATGCCTGGGGGAGACATGCCCCCTCCTCCAAGGAGGCCACCAGGACGCATGAGGCCCTGGCTCAGTCACTTCCTGGAGCTGGAGCCCCATGAAGAGAAAGGCCTTGAGGTTCAGAGGGGGTGGGGCTCTCTGGCTGCAGGGGATTGTCCCTGGCCAAGAGGAGATGCTGAGAGCTTGCCTTTCCCCTTCAGGCTGGAGAGTTTGGGGGAGGTTCTTGAGGAAACCCCACCTCAGGCTATAGGGTGCCTCCTCCCTTCTGCCCCAGGCTACTGGGTGCCGGGGAGCCCTGGAAATCCCCGGAGGAGTGGCAGCTCCGGAGTGAAGGGTTG